AAACATTTGATTTTTTAATGACCGACACTGTAATTGGTCTCACTTAGTTGCATACTCCTACTACTAATAATAATATTCTAGAACACCGTTCTGGATATTAGACACCTCTTCTCTGTAAATGTGAGATCACATTATTTCCTCCTTTAAAAGTCACATACGTGATGCTAGTAATCCAAATATTAACCTCATGATGTTTGAGACAGAATTCTGCAATTAATCAGATATGCCTAAAAAGATTATGTGAAATAGAAATAGCAATTATATATGATCAAGAAAGCCTCTTATGATACATAGCAAAGTGACAATCAACCGAAAATTTAAACTTGCCCAATATACTGATATATTATAAGCTACTTGGTCGGAGCTTGTAGTGCCTAGGTGCTGTTCATGATTGATAAGATGACAACATTATCTTGATAGGGATCCAGAAAATTCCGTATTTCAGAGCATGAAAGCATAACAATTACTTATGTATAAAATGAATAATTTGCTTTTGCCTAAGAAGTTACTGAAGTTGCGGAATAAATTAAATGAATCAAGACTTACATCCCTCACAAGTGAACGTTAAATTCTGTTCAACTCTGAAAAAATTGTTTGTTTAGAAAATAAAAAATAAAAAGGCAATATTAGATTTAAATAACTTAGCATAAAAGAAACTGAATTTAAATGTAAATTTGAATGGGAATACACTTTTTTTGTATATGCCGACTAATATCAAATTTCAATGGTTTGTAACAATAGTTAGAGAAAAGTGAAATAGAAGCTGTATGATACTGTTTAGACTTACTATCGCTATATCTAGTATCCTAATAGCAAATATGATAGGATTGAAACTGAAAATTAGGAGGGCTTACCACCAGCAGGAGGAACGACTTGATCTAGCAACTTGGAATTCGTGCGCTTCCATATCTTTTTAATTACAGCCCGAAGTTCTTCATTTAATTGATCGACAGGGGCTCCTTTGAAAAATAAGATGTCAAATAGAGTAAATGGTGAAGTCACGCAAATTATTTAAAATTTAATAATAAGCAATACTTTGTGTAAAAAGAAGAGGTATTAGCACATTTTGTGAGAAGATAATTACCTTCTGTCTTTATTTTAAGATTGGTACGAACAAGAGCGAATAAAGTAGCGTTGAACATAACAGTTCCGTCGCTATTTAAAGGCATATTCATCCTTACAAGTGTCTAAAATATTTTTGTAAAAAAACAATGGATTATCAAAAGATCTATGAAAAAAATAGACTTTTACTATACAATCTAACAATTATTATCTGAAGATTATTGAAAGATATAAGAGACCGATTAAGAAATGGATTTTGTTACATAAGAATTTAGTCACTTTGAGCTATCAAAAATGAGTTAAAGG